CTGAAAAATGAGGTATATAATTTCTTTCCTTCCTTGCTTTAAGGAATTATACAGCTCAGATGAGATCATGCATGTCAAAGTGCTTTGAAAAATATGAAGCTCTGTAGCAGTGGTGAGTGAATCTTGTCATCTTATTTCATTTAATGTTCACAACATCCTTTGGGATAAGTGCTAGTAATATTGGCTTTGAGGAATCTGAGGTTTTGGGGTATTAATTTTCCTAAAGCCACACAGCTTTAGGAAATGATGAGGACAGCTCTCAGACTCAGACATGCTGGACTTTAATGTTCTTTGACTTCACATACTTATTTTCCTGGTACTTGAGGTGGTATCACTGTCCTGAACAAAGTCAGCTTTGCTGAATCTGATCAGTTGTCATGCAATTGGTAACATTTTCATGGTTGGGAATCAGCTCTAGTGTGGATGATGAGTTTATCTGTCAGTACAAGAGCAGGGCTTCGGGGAGGTAGGGAAAGGAATGCATTTAAATCCAGCTTTTGAAAATGAATTATATAATGAAATTATTTCATTTTACAAATAAATCATATGATGGCACAGTTAAGCAAACTCTTCTCTAATGGGAATAATCTGTCTCATCAGTTCAGATTTTTGTTTCCTGGGTATCTTTCTCTACAGTAGCATTGATATTTATTCTACTTGACCTTTAGGCTTTAGCTCAAATCTCCCCACCATGAAGCCTTTTCTAGCCATCAAGCCCTTTCTCTTCTCTGAACCCTGTGATTAGTCATTACAGGCAGATATATGACCACACAAAATATTATGATGAAGTTGAGGCTGACTCACTAAACCTTGGTATCAGGCTCATTACATTATTGTCACACGTCATACTTTTAATTACCTTTGCCTTTGTGCACATCTTTCTCCAATTCCATTGTAACTTGCTTTTGAAAAGGATTAGCTTTAATTTTTTTTGTACCTCCTGAAGTTTTGTGTGTTTTTTCCCTATGAGTTTTTCTTGTCTTTTGTCTTCCAGAAGTTTGTTATATTGAGGTAGATCAAGGTACATGAATATGTAATTCAGATACAGTGTGGAATGCAGGAGTGAGATGGTGGGGGTGGTCTCCCAGCAAGGGTGACTTCTGAGGATTAAGGATTTGAATCCATGGCAGAAATTTGATAAGGGGAGAAGGTCAGAGAGTCAATCCAGGTAGAGACACCAGCCTAAACAGAGGCACAGAAATAAAGAATGTAATGTATTAGGAAAGTAAAAGAATGATGTGAGGACTAAATGGAGAGGCCATGAGAGAGGAAGTCATCATATGATAATGATAATGGCAACTTGAACCAAGGGGCTATGAGAATAGTTTAAAGAAAGAAATGGAATGGTAAGTCTTCAGTGTTAGAGAGATGCCTCCAGTAGCACCAACCTCAGTTGACCTGCCTGTGTACCCTTTCTAGTGTTTGGTCTTGGTCTCTGTGGACAGGAGTTTGAAATACACAGTTGTTTCATTCATTCTGGGGAGGTTCTCATAAGGGCTTATGATCCACTTCATTTTTTCAGCATCATTTTTCTTTTAAAAAAGATGTTGAGGATTAAGTTTCTTCCTGAAACTTCTTTCCTCAGTGGTCTGTCAGCCCTAATTTGGGATCTTGAACAGAGTAAGGGTAGTAAATTTTCATGGGTAGTTGTTCTGAAAAATATCATGAGCATTGGGAATGTGTAGATAGGATCAGTTATGAGTAGAGAGTGCAGGATCTCTATTCCTTCCATTTAATCACTGCACACCACAGGGAGCCAGAGAAAATCTTTTTGCAACTTAATTGTAAAGTACTTGGATGATCTTTCTTTACCTTGCCATCCCTAGTTTCTTATGTTGCTTCTAGACTCTCTGCCATCAGAGTGGCTTCCTCGTTTCCCTCACCAGTGTCCTTGGTGTCTAGAAGCAGTAGAAACCTTACAGCTGCTGGGATGTTGCAGGGGGAGGCAAAAGGCAAAGGCTCTTCTTCTCTGCCCTGAGGCTGGCAGGGCAACTGATGGTTGGCCTTGAATCTGGGATATACCCTCTCTCCCCACACACAGCCGTGTGAGCCTCTTACCAAGAAGGACTATGGTTTTATGAAGTAATAAATGATTTGGTTGCTTTCAAGCTGGGAGATTGCTTAGCTCAAAGGATTGTTGTTGGAATGTTGTAATGCCGAGTCCTATATCATTGCTGATCCTTTTTTTTTTTCTTGAAAAACTAGTTGCTTGGTAACTGGAGGACAGAAAGACTTGACAGGACGACTTCAGCACAGAGGTCTCCTAGTTTGAATTGGAGTAAGCTATCACATAATGAGATGCAGCGAATGTTGGCAAGTGTGGAGGGTCAACTGTATGTTCTCTCTAACCCAAAGTGTTGTTAGGTACATACAAGTTCAGTGATTAGTTTAAGACTGAAATAGAAATTTCTGGAACTTTTGAGATTGTTTAAAAAAAAATTTTATTTGGAAGGGCTTTTGTTTGTTTGTTTGTTTTCTGCTGTAAAGAATGGCAGTAGTTTTCATTGTAACTTTTCCAGAAGGCCCAGACACAGCTCTGCTAGGGTTAGGAGCTTCAGGGTGGTCATTGTGGCATTGGGGAAGGAAAGACCACCAGTATTAGAACAGGTACCTAACATTAGGGCTAAGGCCTTGGGGTCTGACCCGAAGTTTCTACATCCTTGGTAAGAGAGTATTATGTATCACCTGCACACCTCTGAATGGCCCTGAGAATCAAACGAGATGAGGCTGTGGGATCCCTGTTGCAAACTGTGCAGGAAACAAGAGGCCAGTCAAGGCATGATGCAGGCCCAATGGCTACTGGGACAGAATTGACTCAGTGAGGTTGGGGCCTGTGACTGGTATTGCACTGATTGGAAAGGAGGAAGAACAGAGAGATTTTCCCATAGAACCATATTAAAAAATCTCATCTCCAGGGGTCTTGGCCAATCTGGCAGTTGGGACTGGGGTTGCAAAGTCCTTGTGAATCATGCAACTCAATGAAGAACTGCATGGGACACTCACAGACAGCCATTTAGTATCTGGAAGAAAGGGATCAGGCTTCTGGACACTCTCTCTCACCCAAATTCTCCCTGCTTTTCTTTGCTGCCTAATCTCTAGACTTTGTTTTTGTAGAGAAAGCAGGGATTTTTCCTTCAGAGATCATGTGCATTCTTAAAGATACCTTGTACTTCCAACAATGTGCTCTTTCTGTTTCCTCATCCCATTGTAAGGTTTACTCAGGTCTCTGGCTTTGTCAGTGAAGCAGGTGTGGTCTCAGGAGGAAATGATGCTCCTGGATCCCTCACTCCTCCATTTCCAGAATGTCTCCTTTGGGCAAAAGTCCTAAAATTCTCTTAGAGACATTCTGTTTGGGTTTCATTGTTCACAGTGGCTGTCTGCTGGCTATGTTCCAGTGACCCAAAACAAGATCTAGCATAAGCACTTGTACTCTGAATTTGTGAAGATTTTTTTGTTTGGCTCTGGCTAGAAGCATGCAGGTCAAGTTGTGGTTGTATGTAAAATTGAACAAACAGCACTGGGCACTTTTGTGTTGCTCTGAGGAGGTAACGCACGTGGGTCCCTTCATAAATGTTGCAGCACTGCTCAGAAGAGAGCGATTGGAAGGAGAAACTGAACAGTATGTCTTTCAATTCAGTAAATTGAGTACCTACTGTGTGTTGCCCTCTAGCAGATATTAGAATATGTCTCATTTCGAACTTCAGGTTTGTTGCCTGTACATTCCCCCAAATGCCCTTGAGTTTATGATAAATTCCTTTCATTAGCCTCTTCTAGAGAGAATAATTGCAAACAGGACATAGAAAGTTGCCTGAGTGGTAGGAACCCTTTTCTTGACAGTGCTTCAGTTCCCTTTACCCTGTGTGTGTGTATGTGCATGTGTGTGTGTGTGTGTGTGTGTGTGTGTGTGTGTTTTCTTTGTTTCTACATGCTTGGTAGATAGTGGCCACTTCACAGTTTCCAAGTTTTATCTTACATCCAGACCCCAGTTCCCCAATTCCATTCACAGGCAGGAGTTAAATGGCTCCACTGAATAGGCATTCTAAATTTCTGGGAGAAGAAATCTGATTGGTTCAGCCAGCTCCCATGTCTTTCCATAATCCAATCAGGTTCTCAGAAATTAGAATGAGAACTGTGTGGTTTCCACTCAGCTTGGGGGATGGGGAAGGAGAGGAGACCATCATCAAATATGGTGAACAAGACTGACAAGTCCTTGATATCACAGAGGTTACAGTCTTGGAGGAAAGAAAGACAATAAACAAATATGCAATGCTATGATAGCCAGACCTAACCTCACTTAGGAAGCCTGGGGGGGTGGGTTAAGCAAAGGAACAGGAGAAAATGGATCCTGGGAAGGAACAAAGTGACAGGTAATTGATGAATTTTCCAGGTGGAGTTGTCAGAAGAAAGAAAAAACCGAGTGGTAAGGAAAAATCGGACTATGTAGCAATGTGGAAAAAACAAACCTTTAAAAATTATTCAACAATGGCTTGATTATGTGGATGTTCTCTTTGGCTTGGACTGCAAGTTCTATGAGGGCAGAGACATCTTTTTCATTGCCTTTGGAACCTCTTGACTCCTGGAGAATTTTACATGGCCTGGCATGTTCAGATTCACTGTAATGTAATATCTTGGTGCAGTTTTCTCCCCAGATTTCAGCTGCCCATGTTAAAATATTACATGTTTGAAGCATGCTCTCTCACCCTTCACTAGGAAGATGAATTGCATATTCTCATAGAGTGTTTTTTCTCTCTCCAGGTTGTCAAAGTGGGATAAAGGGAAATTATGCTCATTTTTGGAAGGATCAATAATTGCCATTTTTCTTTCCTATAAAGTACTGTTTTTATGTCACACTGTGCACCCTGAGCCCTCAAACAGATGTTTTAACAGACATCTTGTTGGCTGTATTTTTGTTTTGAAAATTCTGAAACACTACCGAAAGAGGAGAGGGCTAGGGAAAAAAAGAACCCATAATTGATTCTAATATATATTTAATTTGGCAGAACTTGAGAGAGACTTGCTGGGATAAGGCGGGACATTTCTTTGATCTCCCAGACTTCTTATCATGGAAGGCAACAGGTGTCACAGCACGGTATGTTAATTACAAGTTGGATTCTATTTGCACTCTTCCATTCTTGGGTGTCTGTGTATATATATTGCTTTCTTAACTCTCTTTGACTGGACATTCTGTTTGTACATCTGCATGCGATTTTGAATACTTGAAACATCTTGAGTCTATCCTCCACCTCCACTACACATGCCCAGATACTATTCCAATTCCTGCGAGGCCAGAAATGTGAGTATCCAAGGTGAAGACCATTCCTTAAAATGGACACATTTGGAGGAAACATGAAAAATCTGGAGTAAATGGTGCCTTTTGGCCCAAAGGCACCTTTTACATGGCAACTAAAAATTAGGGCAGGAGTTGTTTTTCAAGGAAGTTGATTTTAAGTTGATGAATGTGATATGAATTTATTTTGGTTTTGTATAAATGTGCTGGAATCTGTATAAATACCACTGTATTTATACCACTGTAGAGGTATGTGTGTTGGAATCAGCCACTATTTTTCAGTAAGTTATGAATGTTAAAAATAAAGTATGTGCTACATGCAGGAGACTTTTACAGAATACTTATTGCATATGAAATTGTGGCTGATATAATTAAGAGTGGGAATGTGCCTGGATATGTGCAGAAGATGGACAGGAAATCTCTTCATATATGGCCAGTTTGTTAACCATCTTAACCTCAGTTAGGGGGCTGCATAAGGGTGAGAGGTTTTCTCAAATTGAGAAGGATTTTGAATCTGGATTGAACAAATCTGTGAGTCAGAGGATCCATTCCCAGAGGAAGAGATAAACCTGTATAAAGCAGAGAGCAGGTGTTGTATCTTAAATTCTGTGCCTTCAGAGCGGTATGTCCTCCCCATTTTTTATTATATAAACTCAGGAGAAGCTGGGAACAGCAGTACCATTCCCCCTGTGCTCCTCCTGTCTATCCCATGGTACAGGGTTTGGCTTTTTCTTGTGGTGAGTTGATAAGAGTGTGATAGATCAGCAGCCCTACTTCCAGAAGGAGATAGTGGTGAAGGCCTTTGATGAGCACATCATTCTTCATGTGGCGCCCACCAGCACCTCCCTTCAGCGAGCAATCATCTGCCAAAGGTCTCAGAGAGGAGAGCATCCATATGCACATGAAGACAGCCTCAGCCAACCTCAGGTACTCACCCCTGTAGTGGTCTGAACTTTGCCCTGGAGGGTGTAATTAGTCACCATTATAGTTTTCACCACTGGGGAGGAGGCATGGGTGAAGACCTCATCTTGGGCATTCCTCTTGTGTGACATTGTCTAAGTTATTAAAAGAATTTTTGGAGGCTTTTTTTCTACTTTTGTGCATCAGTGAAGGAAATGTTCTGATTTTAGCAAAATAGACCTGTTAGTTAAAATATGCTAGTAGTTGTGTGTTTGTAGGTCATTGGCTTCAAGGTTTATAGGACTCAAAAATAAAACCAGAGATGGAGAAAGACCTGGTTTTCCTTTTCTTTGGGTCTTGTTTAATCCAGCACTTTTATTTCCCCTTGGTTCTTTCTGATGGCTCCGGATACTGTAAACAACTGTTTCCTCGTGTCTGATGCCATATTCAGACCTCAAGGAGGGGGCTTTTTGAAGCTAGTCCCAGCTCACATAGATTTAAATCAAATAGTAAGTATGGAGGTCATATGGTGACTTGTATCCTTAATAGCTGTGTGCTCTTGGGCATGTGTCTTTGTTGAGTCTCACACTACTTATCTGCAAAATGGAGATCATGGTACCTACCTAAAGGCTGGTTGGGACAATCCTGTTCAAGCAATTTTCCAAACTAGCTTGATTCTAAGAATCACTTGAATAATTTTTTCAACACAGATTCCTAGGAGTTGCAGTTTTCTGCTTCCTGAAATCTCTATGGGACACACCTGGGAACTTGTATGTTTAACAAGTGCCCAGGTGGCTATATGGTCAGGTATATTTGGACAACAATAAATAGAATATACTTGAAAGTCTTATGATTCTGAGATGGTCTATACTTGTGAGAGACTGGCAGTGTTTTAAAGGCCTAATATAGTGAATTTAAAATTGAAGGGCTTCTTGTTGACATCAGAACATACTTGTGATCTTCCATCTCTGTCTGTGACACTCTCAGATCTTAAGGAAGCAAAAAAGTTTAATGCTCAGAAATGATTTATTGGCCATTCAGTCATCCATGCCATTTTTTTTTTCTATTGGCTACATTGCTCATGACTCATTCTGTTTTCATTAGTACAAATTAACAATCCCCACTCCCCCCACCCTGCCCCATACTTGTGGGCAAGTTCAGACCTCCCTTTCAGTCCTTCTCTGCAGAGCAGAGCCTGCAGACTTTGGGCACCCAGCACTCAATTCCTTCTGCATAGGTGGCTGCCTTCTTCCCTGGCCCTCTTACATCTTAAGTTTGTCTTCTGTCTTTTCTTTGTTTACTCCAATGTCTCAATTCATTTTGCCTTCTTCATTTCATCCTGCATGATCCAGGTGAAAGGAGGAACTTCTCTGAGCTTGATTGCAAATGTAGATAATAATAGTGAGTTCATGAGGTTATTATATGGATTGAAATAATAGAAAAACTTCAAACATGGTATTGAGAAAAGTGTTTAAGGAATTAGCTCCTTTTTTACTTCCCTTTCTCTATCACATTTGGCAGGGAGTATTTACATTAAGTTGCTGGCATAAAGGAAAGAAAAATCCTTGTGGTCCGACTGACCTGGATTCAGTCTCTCCATGTAGTATCTGCAAGAACCTAGAGCAAATAGTCTTCCTCCCTCAGCATCGTTTCCTTTTCTGTAAGCACTCTCAGGATTACTAAGAGGTAGATATAATAGAGATGAAATATGTAACACAAAGTATTTAAACAATAAAGGTTTAATTTTTAAATTAAAAAAAATTCCCCACTGTCTGTTCTCTCCCCTAAAATAAGGATGACCAGGGTCGGAAATAGAATGTCTCAATGCCAAAATAACTTTGGGCAGTAGAGCAGGAACTTGGCATCCTCTGGGCAAGGAGAAGTAGAGGTTCAGATTTGGTGTTTATTTGGCTCTTACATGTGATTGTTTTGGGTGGATTTGGTGAAATGAGTGCCAAAAAGGCTAGAAGGTGTTTTTCTTTTTCTTTTTATTATTCTAGTAGAGTCTGGACTCAGGAGTGATTGGATTTCATCTTGTCTTAAAGCTTTCAAACTTGTTTTTGATAGTGACCATATGTAAGAAATTTTTCTCTTCCTCCTCTCCTCCTTCTCTCTTTTCCTTGAAAACATTTTCCCTCTCCTCTCTAGTTGTTCTCATCCCCTGAAATACAGCATTTACTTGTGTTTATCTGGGTCACTGAGGAAATCAGCACCAGGCTGAGGACTGATTTGTAATTCTGTTCCATTCTTTTCATCATATTAATGAAAATAATTACTGCTATTTTTGTTAATAGTAATAATGGTCACTGTCATTTATCCAGTGCCTTTCTTTTATCTGTGCTAGGCGTACTGACGAATGTTAGCTCTGTTAGTCTTCAGCAACCATCCGTGAAAGCAGGTGGTGTTATTTCCATCTTGCAATTCAAGAACTAAAGCTGAACACTGTAGTAATTTGCCGTGTTCTAGCCATTGAGTGGGTGACTGTCCAGAACATGAGAGATGGTTAGTCAGAGATTCGAAAGATAAAATTTTGTATAACTAGACTAAAATATGTTCATACATATAAATACTCCCTCTAAAGAGATTTGCAGTGACTGGTAATAAATAAGCTAAAAACAGGGCCAGGTTTGGTTCAGTGATAGAGGTATGCTTAGAATACAGGAGGCCCCGAGTTCAGTCTGCAGCCCACGTGTGTATGTGCGTGTACTTGCTCTTTCTCTTTCACACACACACACACACACACACAGAACAACAACAACAAAAAACAAAACAAAACAGTGATTAAAATGTAAAAGAATCAGAAGTCAGTGAAAATATTCATAGAATGACTGAGTTTATTCTAAGAATTTCACAGAATCTATGAGGTTCTTTAAACTTACTAATAGGTTGTTTTCAGGCTTCTTTTGACCAGAACAAAGTCGGACATGACCTGGTGAAGAACTGAGTCCATCAAAACCCAACTGCTCTTTGGGAGCCCAAGTTTGTTTTGAACACAGGGGTCTGAGAAAAAGTTTTTCTTCATTTTCAAGGGGCAAAAATATTTTGTAACTTATTTAAAAGTATATTCTAATAATAATAATAATAAGTATGTTCCAATTATAATTTCAGATAAACTATTGATTTTAAAATAGTTTACATTTTTAGGAAATTTTCTAGTTGTAAATTCTCAGGAATGATGGTCCTGAAAGCTTGCCCATGCCTTACACAGAGTTCCCTTTGTTATTAACATCATTCGTTACATGTGTGGTGCGTTGGTCACAAGTAATGAATGAATATTGGTGTGTTATCATTAACTAAACTCCATACTTTATTTACATTTCCTTAATTCTTGCCTAATGGGCTTCATCTGTTCTAGGTCCCACCCAGGGTAGCACATTACATTTAGCCGTGTCTCCTCAGGCACCTCTTGGCCTCGGTGGTTGCCCAGGCTTTCCTTGTTTTTGATGATTTTAACAGTTTTGAATAGTGTTGGTCAGGTATATGGTGGGCCATCCCTCTGCTGGAAGTTGTCTGATATTTCTCTCACAGTGAGACCTGGATAGTGTGTTTTGGGGAGCAAGTTCACATGGTTCTTTCACATCACTCTTGGAATCACATTAACCTGATTCTCTGGCTGAGATCCTCTTTGTCACATTTCTACAGCTTAAAGTGTTCATTCCAACCCCTGATGCCCACTCCTTGTATACTGTACTCTCTGGAAAGAAGTCACTGTGTATAACTCTCTAAACCTAAAGGGAGTGGGGAGTTATGTGTGCTTCATCTCTTTGAAGGTGGAAGAGCTACATATATTATTTTGAATTATTTTTGTATGGGAGACTTGTTATTTTTTCAGTTCACTTACTTTTATGGCTTTGGGATGAAGGAAATTGATGACCAGGCTTCTTAGGCCCAAGAGACATTCT